CGCCTTTAATCCCAGCACTTGGGAGGCAGAGGCAGGGGGATCTCTGTGAGTTTGAGACCAAGCCTGGTCTACAAAGTGAATTCCAGGGCAGCCAGAGGTATTACACAGAGAAACCCTATGTAATAAAGAAAAAGAAAAAAATAAGAAAGAAAAGATTTGATTTATTTCTGTATATATACTATATGTTGGCTTTCTTAACAGTCAAACGGTGATGATACTCTGCTCTATTCTGCATTCAGTGATAAGTGTTGGAGACAGTTGGTCAGGTCTCGATGGTATAGCCTGTAGGTGTGCAGTAGAGCAGCATGCCCTGGCCTTGTTGGCACATGAATCTGTCATTCTTGGCATCACTGTCACCTGCTGTGACCAGTGAACTAATTGTAAAGTGACCTACATAAGTAAAGCACTGGCATTTGTGAAAGTGGCTTTGGCTCTGAACACTGGCATGTTTCTTATTGAGCAAATGTTCAGAAGAAGGAGAACTCAAGATTATACACTACTAACTGAAGGTAGGTCACAAACAATAGTCATGTTGACTGTGTACAGCAAAAAGGATTCTCTGAGCTTAGGTTAGTGCTGTAGAACTTGGAGGCTAGAATTAGGTATCTGCAGAGTTTCTCTGTGAATGGCCAGGTAATAAACATTTAAGGCTTTGTTGTGTCTGCTCCATGTCTGTAGTGCAGTGTGGCAGCAGTGGGTTCATCTGTGACTGCCTGAACACTGTAGGGGGACACAAAATTAATTTTCTGGCCATTTACTCCTAGGATGTGCTTTATTCAAGGGCTGGAGTCTATAGTGTTGACATTTAGGGCCAGATAATTCTGCCTTTCCCATGGAATGGGACATGCAAAATTCTCACTGATAGCACCCACCGGTCTAGAAGATTTGGAAATGTCCCCCTCCTTTCTTCTCTCTGTATCTGTCTTTCTTTTCTCTTTTTGGTTACTGGAGTGATAGTGTGGGTTCCTTTCTTGAACTTCAGCTCTGATATCAGTGTTGAATTCGAGTCCACAATGGCACATAATCCTTAGAATGCAGGTATTCTAACCTGTGAGATCAGATCATACCTTAATATATAGCATATGCTAGTGTGCTGGTCAGTTATTTGTCCAGTTGACACAAACCTAGACTGGGAAAAGGGAGCCTCAACTGAGGAATTGCTCCCATCAGATAGGCCTGTAGACATGTGTGTGGAACATTTTTCTGATTGATGAGGGCCTGTCCCACTGAAGACAATGCCACCCCAGGGCAGGTGGTTCTGGGTTGTATAAGAAAGGCAGATGAATGAAGGCCTGGGAGCAAGCCAGTAAAGCACCATTCCTCTGCAGCCTCTGCTGTAGTTCCTGCTTTAGGGTTCCTTCCCTGGCTTCCCTAGATAGTAGACTGTAGCCTGTGAGCTAAATAAACCTCTTCCTCCCCAAAGTTGCTTTTGGCCAGTGTTTATCCCAACAGCAGAAAGCAGACTTAGATGTGGAAATCTTTCTGATCTCACGTAGATTCTCACCTGAGAAGTGTTTGTCTTTGCATTCCTGTCATGTATTCTTTTTATCTGTCTCTTTTCCTCTCTTGGTATGTGCCAGCTGGCTGGGCTCAAGCCTCCAGTGAGGCAATATTTACAGCTCACTTGGGTGGATGCTGCAGCTAGGGTAGCCCAAGGGCAGATGAAATAGCATCCAGAATGGGAATGCTGCACCTCTCTGCACTGTCTTCTTTCAAATAAGAAAGAATTCTCTTCCTTCCTCCTCTGTCAAATGACAAGAAGTATTGATTGATTTGGTACAGTATATAAAATATGCATATAATGGAGTGGTATTTTGGGAACTATTAGCAGCATTGGCTTGCTGAGCCCCAAGATTTTACCCTCCTCCCTTTTCCTTTTCCTCCTTCCCAGTAGCAGCTTCTTAGCAAATTGCAAGCTCTGCCTCTGGCTAGCTGGGTAGCAGTGGCAGTGGAGGCTGTCTCTAGTTTCCAAGGGAGACGAGTGCTGAGCCTGCAGTGCTTCCCAGAAGCCACTGCCTTTCTTGCTGCTCATCTCCATGCATGCCTTGACCTTCATTCTGCTATGCAGACCTGCACAAGGAGGTAACACTCTGTTTTCTTGGTGTTCTCTGTGTCGAGGGGGGCAAAGGGAAAGCCGGGTGGAATGGGTAAAGGCATATGGACACAGCAGAGAATAAATACTGAAATTAGAAAAAAAGTCGCTCTGAGGTACTCTGATCTGTGAACATCTTTCTGTTTGCTGTGCCCATGAATACCCTGAATGTGGGAGCTCTGGAACTAGCTCATAAAACTAAAAATTACTACATATAAAAGCATAAGGTTATAGTAATATTGCCAATGGGAAGCACAGAAGAAAAATGAGAACTTGGAGAAAAAAATGTAATCAATTGCTCTCAAACACTCTGTCTTTATGAATTCTGTTAGGCGTGTGTTATACACATTTAAGGAGAGAGCTGAGAATATGCCTTTTCAGTATATGCTCAGGACTCCAGAGCTGTGCTTCTGAGTGTCATAGTCAGTGCTCCTGTGTGACTATTTAAGTCTAGTGACAAAGTTCAAAGTGATGTCCTCCCTTACACCAGCTACGTTTAAAATAGTAGCTACATAATGACTACTGGCTTCTGTATTAGACTGAATATTGAACATTTCCATTATTATACAAAGTCCCATTGGAGGAACTAAAGAAAGAGACCCATAGAATATGGGAAACTTTGTATACTCAACATCTGAATCACGAGTTCTGAATCTGTGTATTTAACCAACTCTGGCCTGCTAAAAATCGCTACTAAGATGAGCAGTGGCGGTGCACACCTTTAATCGCACACCTTTAATCCCAGCACTGGAGGCACAGGCAGGCGGGTCTCTGAATTCAGGGACACCTGGTCTACAGTGTAAGTTCCAGGACAGCCAGGGCTACACAAAGACACCGTGTCTCAAAAAACAAAAGGAAAGAAAGTGAAAAGGAAAATAAATGCTATAGAAATTAGGCTTTATTATAAGGATTTTATGAAAAATTGTCTGCTACCAAATTAAAAAAGAGAGAATTCCCTGAAAAACAGAATATATTTGTTTTAAAAATATATATAAATAAGTCTAACTATTACAGAATTTGAATATTTTATTTAAGAGTTTACTCCAAAGAACACTAGCTCAGGTAAATTTTATTGGTGAACTTTTTAAATTATGTAACCAAAATCATACATATTACCATTACAGAAAATAGGCCAGGAGAGAATACTTCCAACACACATACCCTTAACTCACAAAGCTGGCCACTATACCTCGAGAAGAGAAAAATCAAAAGTCACATTCCTTTTATGACTGTGAATGTAGAAATCTTGGTGTGTGTGTGTTTGAGACAGGGTTTCTGTAACAGTCCAGGCTGACCTGGAACTTGCTCTGTAGACGAGACTTGAACTCACAGAGATCTGCCTGCCTCTCAAGTGCTGGGATTAAAGGTGTGTGTCACCACTGCCCAGCTAAGTAAATAGTAGTAATAAATTTTAAAGTATTACTTAAATAGTAGCAGTAGTACATTTCGGGGCTGGGGAGTGGCTGAGCTGGTAAAATGTTTGCCATGTAAGCATAGGGTCTTGGTTTTGGACCACCAGTACGAAGACTGAGTACAGCAGCAAGACAGGAGTCTAGCACTGGGGAGGGAGAGATGGACAGCTCCCCGGGGCTGGCTAGCCTAGTCTAGCTGAACCTGTGAGCTTCAGGTTCAGTGCAGAACCTGTCTCAAGCAAAAGAAAGTGGAGGGTGATGAAGAAAGCCACTTGTCACTGACTTCCAGCTTTCCCACCCACCTGGAAGTGCACACATGTCCGCACATTTATATCTTGAGCTGACTGTGTGGCTCAGTGATAGAGTACTTGACTAGCATGTATGCACAGGCACAAAAGCAAAAGTAAAATATAAGCACAAAACCTTTAAGAGTTTTAAATAAAAATCAATGTGATTTTGCTCTACAAGCTTGAGGGCCTAAGTTAAGGTCCCCAGCACTTACATAAAAAGCTGTATTGGCACACAACTGTAATCTCATCACTGTGGATGCAGGGAAGGAAAGGAGGTTTGCCAGATCTTACTGGTCAGCCAGTCTAGCCAAACCAGGAAGCTCCAGTTTCAGTCAGACTTTATCTCAAAAGGTAATACAGATTAGCTAAGGAGATACCTCCATGAGTAAAAGTGTTTACCACACAGGTGTGAGTATCTATGCTTCTCAAACCCCCAGAACCCACATGAAAAGCCAGATATGTAGTAGCTCATCTGCAATCCAGGTGGTTCTGGGGGGGAGATATGAGGTGGAGACAGGAGAAGATTCTGGACCAATAGCCTGTCATATGCAGTGGTAAGGCAAACCTGTCTCAAATAAGGTAAAGGTACGGAATGATGTTCAAAGTTGTCCTCTAACCTCTATACATATGCTGTGGTATGTGTGCACAATGAGATGTGCACTTCTGAACATTAGCATTCACTTGCACACACACATACATACATACACACACACACAGAATGATGAAGACACTTGACATCAACCTTTAATCTCCATGTATGTGAACATGTGAAGTGCATGCGAAACCTTAACCTGATTTCTATAAGAACAGAAAGCTTTATTTTAATTTGATGAGTGGTGTCTAAAGAAATTTTACAGCCAACATTCCTTTTAGTGGTAAAGTACTGAGAGCAGGAACTTACTATCCCCACCTCTCTTTAGCATGGCCTACAGTTCCTGGTCAGAACAGTAAGGTAAGAAAAGAAAACAAAAATTGTAAAGTTAAGAAAAGAAGAAATAAAATTCAGTTCTCTCTTTACAGATGGCATACTTCTGTATGAGTGGTGATACATTTACACATACTTTGAATGCTGTAAGAACATTTACTGATGGCATATAGCATTCTTCCCCTTTTGACCTTTAATGACATTTGTTTTCAGCATGTGGAGTGTCTTCATTCCTGCGGTGCACACAGCAAAGGTGTTACCTGCTGTTTTCTCCTCCCTAGGTCTTATCTGACTCCTGTCCGGGATGAGGAAGCAGAGTCTTTACGGAAAGCACGCTCCAGACAAGCTCGGCAGACACGCAGGTCTACTCAGGTAAGCGTGACTTCCCCACACCCTAGTGTTCTTTTGTCTTTCTGCCTTTCCAGTGGAAGTATGTGTTGAAAATATGAAAATGAATGCTTATGTTCCAGCCACTTCATTGTAACTGTCAGCTGTCTAAGGCTGTACTGTATAGAAGCAGATTTATAACTGTCTCTACCCACTCTCACCTCCGTTCCCCCCAGCTTTGCTTAGGAACTGTAAGAAGCCTTGTAGTCCTCTACACATGGAGAATCTCTAAGGAAATGGATAGCGGTTTGAAAAATGTTAAACATAGAGTTTCCATTTGATTCAGTACACAGTCTATACTCTTAGATAAATACATGAAAACATCCTCACATAAAAACTTTTATAGAGAATTATATAAGAGAATTAATCAAACTAGCCAAAAAATAGAACTAAGCCAGTAATGTACTCCACAATAAACAGGACATATAAGAACATATAAGTATATGTTCATTAACCAATGAATGAACAAAATATACCATGTCCATACAGTGACGTATTATTTGGAATTAAAAAGTGAGGTTCCAGGGGCTGGAAAGATGCTTCAGCAGTTAGCACTTGTGACTCTTGCAAAGGATCAGAGTTTAGTCCACATCACTCCCACCAGGTGGCTCACAGCTGCCTGTACCCCCAGCTCCAGGTGACCTAGCAGCCTTGTCTGGCCTTCCTTGAGCACCTACATACGCATACACAAACCCACAGACATACCCACAAATAAAAAAATTAAAGTAGTTACAATTACAACATTCGTGAACTTGGAGAAAGCATCAAAGTGAAGCAATCCAGGCACAAAGAGCCCATTTGTTAGATGAGTTCCTTGTGTAGTATATCCAAAATGGCTCAGCCAGAGAGATGTGGGGTAGGATTAATTAATGCTTGGGCAGCAGGGAAGAAAAATGGAAAGAGCCTTGTTAGTGGGCGTGGCTTCTTTAGAGCCTTGTTAGTGGGTGTGGTTTCTTTAGAGCCTTGTTAGTGGGCGTGGTTTCTTTAGAGCCTTGTTAGTGGGCGTGGTTTCTTTAGAGCCTTGTTAGTGGGCGTGGTTTCTTTAGAGCCTTGTTAGTGGGCGTGGTTTCTTTAGAGCCTTGTTAGTGGGCATGGCTTCTTTGGGCGGCGATGAAACTGTCCTGAAAATAGATAACAGTAATAGTTGAAAAACTCAGTGTATTCTAGAAATCATAAGCTTGCTCACATACATTGAAAAGAAGAATTCTATGATATGAGTTATATTTCAGTTACAAAAAGGTCTTTTATGGGAGCTGTGTGTAAGCAATTTAAGGTAGAATCTGATGTACCTCACACTTTCTTGCAGAGACAGAAGTGGTAGGTAGAGAATGTTTGCCAAGCCAGGAAACCTGAAGATGAGTTTGGAAGCTGTTCATAGTAGTCCCACCTGAAAATATCAGGGGCATGGCCTCAGTTTGTAATGGTCATGAGAGGAGGAAAGACTTTGAGTGTGGTATTGAGGAGGCCAAGAAAGCCTGTGAAGCAGAATAAAAAGGAACTTGCAGAGTAATGCGAAGAGAACCAGAAAACAGCAGTGGATTCAAAATGAACAAGAAATAAGCATGTAGCAGAAAGGAGACACTCAACAGCTGTAATTAGATGGTACAGAAGTCAAAGGAAAGCCGATGACTGGGAACACTGTGCACAGCAGCACCAGATTGCTTCTGTCTTTCCCGGCCCTCCCAAAGTGGTTCAGGAATTACGCCTTCACTTTTGCTTGATGAGTGTGTGTCTATTCTTCCCATAGAATCCATCTTCCATGAAGCCCATGACTATTTATTATTCTCATTAATATGCATTAGAAAACTTACCCATTTCTCCATTTTTATGTTTATAGTTCAGTGTTATTAATTCCTGTCACCACCGTACAGCTCCAGAACATTCTTCATCCTCCCAAACTGAAACTCTGTATTCATTGAGCAATCACCCTATGCAAGCAAGCAGTATTCTGTTTTCTGTCTCTATGAATTTGACTCCTTTGTGAATCTCACATAAATTAAATCATATACTACGTGTCTCACTTGTTTTACTTTCTTGTAACATAATGCTAGGCTTCATTCATGTTGTCCATATAGCATCATTTTATTTTTAAGGCTGTATTATTATAAGCCACAATTTGTTTAGCATCCACCTTTTAGTAGACATATGACTACCGGAATAATACCACGGTGCAAATGGCTGTCCACACGTCTCCAGACCCTGCTTTCAGTCCTTTGAGGTATATGCATAGAAATATGGGATGGCTTGTATGATAATCCTATTTTTAATACTGAGGAGATGCTTACTGTTCTCATAATAGCTGCCCTCCTTTCCACTCCTGTCAGCACCCACAAGCATCCTCATTTCTCCAGCTCTCTCCCAATATTTGTTTTATAATTTGGGAATTTTTAATATGGTAACCACTCTAGTGAATGTGAAGCAGATGAATGAGGATAATTTCTTTTTACATTTTATTTTGTTGTTGTTGTTGTTTGTTTGTGTTTTGAGACAGGGTTTCTCTGTAGCTTTGAGGCCTGTTCTGAAACTAGCTCTTGTAGACCAGGCTGGCCTCGTTCTCTCAGAGATCCGCCTGCCTCTGCCTCCCGAGTGCTGGGATTAAAAGCATGCAGCACCACTGTCTGGATACATTTTAATTTTTTTTATGTGGAATGCTACACGTGTGGAGGTCAGAGAATAACTTGTGAGAGTCAGTTATCCCTTTCTACCATGTGGGTCCCACATCCTCTCATGTCTTGAGGCTTGGTGGCGTGCACCTTTACTCACTGGACCATTTCAGTAGCCCACTGATTATATTTCTACTGTCATTTCCCTCAGTGTATGGTAGATAAATAATCAGAATATGCATTCATATCAATATATAATTGAATATATCAATGAGTGAGAAATAATGGTGGGGAATATAGACTACTCTTAAATGGTTTTAAATTTACTTGTGAAGAGACAGAAAAAGGTAGCTGAAGAAAGACACATAATTAAAAGAGGAAGAGCCAAAGACATATAAGTATTTTAAATGAAACCATGCTTGTAATCCTAACACTTGGAAGGTAGAGGTAGTAGAAGCGGGAATTCAAAGCTAGCCTCAGCTACATAGTGATTTAGAGGTCAGCCTGGGCTACATGCATAAAAACCCTGTTTTTAAAATAGAAATCTTGTAGGAAAAGACTCAGTAGAGAGAGCCAAGGTCCACGTCAGCCTCCTCAAAATGAGTACATGACTTTTGAAAATATTTTGTTAGATTCCCAAAGGAACCTTGGGTTGCCCAAAGAAAAGATATTCATAAAGTAAGCATGCAGCTCCTTAATATTACAAATGATCCAGCCTCTTACCTTCCCTCTTTTTCACTGACCTCATTCTGCTCCCACTCCCGTCACCTTTGCTACAGTGCGGAGAGCCACTGATCATCCCCAGGCTCTCCTATCTCTAAGTCTGCGGACAGGCTCTGACTAGCTAGGCCCTTTACCCCTCCCTGCCTTCCAGAGCAGCACTTATGGAGGTCAGGGGACAACTTCACATGTTAGTCATTGCCTTCTTGTTTGAGGCAGGGTCTCTGTTCATCACTGAGCATACCAGGAAAACTAGCTTAACAAACTTCTGGGGGCTCTCCAGGCCCTCCTTTCCTTCTTCCCAAAGCTGGGTTTTATGTGGGTTTTGGGAACCCAGATTCTGGTCCTCTCAGTCATTTATGCACTGGGCTATCTTCCCATGCCCCAACGCTTCATCTTAACATGTGCATAAGATCATGTGATCTTTTTTATGTAATTTATGCTAGATTGAAAGCTTCTTGAAATGGTGCTGGTTTGCTAGTTCAGCAAATAAGAGCACTTCCTGCTCTTGCAGAGGACCTAGGGTCAGTTCCTAGTGTTTATATAGTGGCTTACAACTACCTGTAACCCAGTTCCAGGGGATCCAATGCCCTATTCTGGCCTCTGCAGCCTTTTGTATGCATATGGTGCCCATCAATTCAGGCAGACTCACACACGTACCTATAACAAATAAATCTTCAAAGAAAGCTTCTTGAATCACTTGACTTGCCTCTGTAGTTTAACTGCTTGAAGACATCAGTAATTTAAAAGAATGAATAAAACAATGAATAGTTAAAATTTTTTTGAGACTGGAGAGACAGTCGTGCAGTGAAGGGTGCTTTCTGACCCCATGTTGTCAGGTGACTCACAGCCGTCTATAACTCCAACTTCAGGGGATCTGATACCATCTGGCCTCCACAAAAATTATGCTTGTCTGTATATGCAAGAACATGTGTTTACACATAATTTTATAAAATGAAAAGAATGTTATGGATTTAGTACTCAATGGCTGCCTGCTCTGAGGCTCTGAGAATGTCACTGCTCAGTTGGAATAATCTCAGTCTCTTCTCAGTGCTGTCCTACTCCAAGTCTCTATCATTTAATTGCTTTGCCTTTGTCCTGCTGCTCCAGTGATCTCAGGGGAAACATTAATTGTTAGCACATCTCTGTGTGATTCCTAAAGTTACTCAGGAAATGATGTTAGAGGGAAAGATAATATAGTGTTTCAGGAAGTTTTGTTGTTTTAGCCTAACTTTGAATTTTTATGTTTTTGAACCAGGTTTTACAAATTTGATTTTTCAAGTATTTACTGTTCAGGGAATTAGAAGGTAACCATTTGATCTTGGGAGAGGGTAAAGTGTACACAAATAATTGAGAACAATTTGCTATAGACCAAATATATCTATAACAGCAGATTCCACCGTTGACCTATTTTTTTGAAGACCAAGTTGGTAAAGCAAAAGTATTAATTCCAAGTATACGTAGATTTAGGTCTGAGTTCTCTGCACAGCGTGGCGCTTATTTTAAGCATGTGTTGTTAGAAATGGCCTTCTGTTGCCTCTTGGGAACTTCATTTGGTTGTTTTGGGGACAGTTTCTCTGCTCAAGAATACCGTGTTAGTGTGAAACTATCTTCACCATTTGATATTTTCCCAGGGTGTTACCCTAACAGATCTTCAAGAAGCAGAGAAGACTTTCAGCAGGTCAAGGGCAGAGAGGCAAGCTCAGGAACAGCCTGGTGAAAAGCTTGAAGACCCTGGTGGTCTTGATGGGAACACCAAGAAGCAGGAGCCATCAGCTGCCCCAACAAAGGAAGGGGACAGGAGTGTAGAGGAAGAGGTGAGCTCCTCTTGCTGGCATGCTGTGCACCATAAGCAGGGTAATCTAGTGTACTTCCTCAATGGTAGTCTGAGTGCTGGTCTGCCTTGCTTTAGTAAACCATTCCTAAAAGGCACTTGTTTATAGCTGTCTTCGGTGTAGACCTATGTGGCTGAAAAGATCTGAAGGATTTCGGTTCTTTAAGTGATTTTTTTCTCCTCTGAGAGTTAACTAATGCTTTTGAGTGAATGTCTTTCTATTCTATAGGAGTGCATATAGTATAATAAGATGCAAATAAGATCTGTTTTTATGGCAGACATTGTTATAAGAATTTCAAATATATTAATTGATTTAATTCTCAGGATACCCTTCTGAGATCAGTATTGTTATTCCTGTTTTATAGATGAGGAAGTTGAGTCTCACAGGCTGAGTAACTTACCTTATACTCTACACATGGAAAGGTAGGCCAGTGAGAATTTGAAAATAGGCAGTCTGACCTTCCAGCTTGTTTAACACAGATGTATTGTTCCCAAAGTCCTGCAAAGCACTCCTAGGTATCATGGTCTGTGTGGGCATATGTCTCTAGTGGAAGGGGTATTCACGGAGAGGATCAAGGGTACACTTAGGGCAAGCATACTCCTGATTTCAGTTGTAACTCTTGTCTCTATAATTATCATAACCACTCCTTCTCTCTCAAAAGTGTCCCAATGTGAACTGATAAATATGGATACTGTAGGTATGAGAGCAAGGAATCTCTCACTTGTTGGCACTTTGGAGTGCTGAGTTCTGTAAACGGATACTATTGTGCATCTTGTTTGTTTTGTTAAGTTATTTACTAGCTGGACAGTAGTGATGCACGCCTTTAGTCTCAGCACTTGGGAGGCAGAGTCAGGTGGATCTCTGTGAATTCGAGGTCAGCCTGGTCTATAGAGTGCGCCCCAGGACACCTAAGACTACATAGAGAAACCCTGTCTTGAAAAACAAAAACAAAAAAGGTTATTGCTGAGTACTGGTTCCTAGATAGTGTTCAGATCCCTAACACATTATCTAAACCCTCGGCATACTTTCTAAGGATAGTTTATCCCTGTTTTACTTACGAGGGTGCTGAGGCTCAGAGAAGTTAACTTATTTAAGATCACACAGCTACTACCTGCAGAAGTAGACTTTAAGCCAAGTTCTGTCTGGACCCAAAACTTGCTTACTTCATTGTTTCTGTCGTTATGGCTCATAAATTAAAAGTATGCAACTTCTACATTGTGAACTTAATTTATAGATACAACTTAGTTTAAGATACAAATTTTTATTTGTCTCTCGAAGAATCCTCAGTTAATTGAGCTAAGGCTAATTGTTCTGTTTTAAGTCTCAGAAAAATTCGGAGGGGAAATAGAAATTTAAAAAAGCTTTAGGAAAGTGGTAAAGTCATTTGTGGTACAGCCTTGCCTAGTGTGTGCCGGGCCTGGCTTTGATGCCCAGAACATGAAATGAGTTCTTCAGTGAGTCATGTACCATGTTGGTGGAGTGCCCAGACAGTGCGGGAATGGCCACATTTGCTCTCTGTCCGCAGGTCATTGCCACTCTTGTTTCTTCACACTCCTAGCTTTTTATTTCCTGTGTACTCTGTCATTGAGCACCCCATCTTAAAAACAGCAGTGCTTTCCCCATTTTCAAGGTCAAAAGAATTTTCATTAACAATGAGCTATTTAGTGCCCTTTGGTCACTTTAGGTTTGTCTCAACTGCTGTGGTCATAATGGTATCCTCAGAGTAGGACTCCAGCTGATAGATGCTGATTGAACATCAGTTGTTACTAAGTCCTCTTCATATTGAAAGGCCCATTTTGAAGAAGCCTACTGTCTTGATCCTTTGGTGAACTTGACCACCAAAATCTCATCCTGTGGATTATTTCTAGCCTATCTATCATCGCCTAAGGTGTTCAACTCAACCAGACAAACCCACAACGCCTGTGTCTCCTTCTGCATCAAGAACCTTACTCTACACTGGTTCTCATCTACTACGGACAGGTAGAGCTTCAGACCCTGATTCTGAGAATTCAGAAACCACCACAAACGCCACAGCTGCAAAGGAAATGGACAAGAATGGTATGTGTAGCTTCAGAAGCCACTGTCCAGTGTGCATGGCCCAGGTTTTTAAGGTCCACATTCTGTGTTATCTTTGGGCAGAGAAAGAAGGAGCTGATTTGGATGATGAGTCCTCTAACAGGCTGTCTATCCGAGAGAGGAGGCGACCTAAGGACCGGCGAAGAGGCACAGGCATTAACTTCTGGACAAAGGACGTAAGTACCTTCGTCTGAGTAGGGCATACCATATCACCTGTGACTGCCAGCCTCCTTGTTGAGGTCAAAAGAAAGAGCCCCAAGAAGTGCCATGATTGTCATAGATATGACAAAGAACTTTACTAAGAAAAAGGGAAGACTCCACGGGTATGGGACTCATTTGGTATGTTTCTGCTAAGTGCCTAGAGCAGTACTGAATACAAAGATACTCTGTAACTGATAAAGAATTTTGAAAGCTGGAGATTTTCAGCTACGGTGTAAGCAAGTATATAAATTCGGCAAATTTTAGCAGTTGTTTCTAGGAGTCCTTGAAAGTCATAAAGTTGACAGTATCTTAATACTACCTATAAACCAAGGTTTAACTATTGTAGGGTGATAAGAATTTTGAAGGAAGAGACTGGAGAAATTGATCATGGTTAAGACCATTCATTTTTTTTTCAGAAGAACAAGGCCCAGTTTTCAGTACCCACATGGTGGCTCACGGCCATCCATAACCCCAGTTCCAGGGACCCAACAGGCACACTCAGTGCACATACTTGCATTTAGGCAAAACACTCATACGTGTAAAGGGAATAAATATTTTCTTTTTCTTTCTTAAAAAAATGTTTTAAAAAGAATTTCAAAGAGCTTAAAATCTGTAAATTGACACATGTTGTCAGGGTTTCTGCCCTGCCCGGTTCCCACAATCAAGTCCCAAAGAAATCACACAGAGGTCTACATTAGTTATAAACTGATTGGCTCATAGGCTCAGGTTTCTTATTAACTCTTATATTAGCCCATTATTCTTGTTGCTAGCCATGTGGCTCGGTACCTTATTCAGCGAAGCAGTCACATCTTGCTTCTTCTGTGGCTGGGCCAGGACTGCCGACCAAGCTTTCCTCTTCTCAGAATTCTCCTGTTCTCATTTCCCACCTCTTCTTCCTGTCTGGTTGCCCCACCTATACTACCTGCCTGGCTACTGACCAATCAGTGTTTTATTAAAATACAATTGACAGGCTACAAACCATTGTCTCACAGCACTTCACACGGTATACTCACTTGCATTTAGACAAAACACTCGTATGTGTAAAGTGAATAAATATTTTCTTTTTCTTTTTAAAAAAAAGTTTTAAAAAAGAATTTCAAAGGGCTTAAAATCTGTAAATTGACACAGGTTTAAAATGAGTCAGTTTTACCTTTCTGTAGGGTAAAGGATCAAATAGAGAACAGGTCCACAGTGTTTACCAAGCACAAACACACAGTACTTCAATGCATTCCCTTTATAACTGCTTCTAACCTTCCCATTCAAGCCTGTTACTGGCATTTTTTTAAATGTCAATACCGTAAACCAGAGGCCCCTGGTTCCTAATGACCCACGTGAAAACTAGATAAAACTATGCAGCAAGACAAAAGATATAGCAATAGTCATCCCTCATTTCAAACAGACTTGTAGCAAAGATGCATGGCCCTGTCTTAGGACTAAATCGATAGTGTTTTGTTTTTACCGGTGCTGGGGATTGAACTCGAGGCCTTGCAGATACTAGTCAAACAAACTCTTCACCAATAAGCTGCATTCCTAGACCACAGGGTGACAGTGTTTGACAGAGTGAAATGAAGTCTTGCTTTTTGAAAAAATACTTTTTAACCAACTGTGGTTGGTTTGACATTTTTTACCATGGTGATATTTCGAAGTCCCCTGCCTGTGACAGCTGTTGAAAGTGGCAATAGTGGCATCGCTTTCAGTTTTCATTGCCCATGGTTGAAACACCAAGAGGTGTGATTGATAGGAACTGACCTTGTTTTCAGAGAGGTCTGTGGCTGTGATCCTTTTGTTTTTCCTCCCTTTTCCATTTCAGGAGGATGAAACAGATGTGTCTGAAGAGGTCAAAGAAGCATGGGTAAGTGACACACTGGTGACACAGTCCCTTTGAGTTCAGCCTTGCTTCTTGGCACAGCAGATCTATGTGAATGTGGGCAGAGGGTGAAGACGAGCCTTGCTCTGAGCAGTGTGACAGGGGCTTGTTGGGGCCTCTTTTTCCTGTGCAGTAGCACTGCCATGCTCCTGAATGACTTTCCAGTGCCTACTGTGCTGGCTGCCAGTCATCGACACCCATGCAGGTGCCACATTTGTCCCTTGACTATTACTGGATTGGGTAAAGTACTTGGAAATCTTTGGAAGAGAAGTAAAAAGTGATGCCAGTTCCTAATGATTCTCTTCTAACAGAGAACATAAACCTTGAGGCCATTTAAAAGTTATTTATATTTGTCTTTGAAGTGAGGGTAAGCGCCTCACCTCTTTTGTAACTTGACCTTTTGAAGCCTGGCATCCAACTTCTCTTTGCACTGGAAGGCCTACACCCACCATTCCTCCTCTGAGCTACTTTTAAACCTCTAAACACTGAGGCATTATTTGCAGGAAAGAGGGAATTTGGTTTTTACCAAATTAATACAAATCTTTGTGCTTTGCTTTTCAAAGCATATAAAATGATAGCCTTTTAGTACCATACAGTTTATTGTTGTACATTTATTCTCAGAATATATTTAATGATCTTTAGAGAAAATCAACAACTAGTTCATTTTTATCGGTAGAAACATAAGTAACAAATTTTCATTGTTCTATCTAAATAGATAAGATCCCAAGCGGTAACTGTATTGTGGTATATGTTTGCCTTATGAGTCCATGGCAGGAGCATCACAAGTTTTTTGGTTTTGAGGTTGTGTGTGTGTTTCCTGTTCATGTGTGGATAGATAGGTATGGATGTACTTGCGTATGTATGCACATGTTGTATGGAGACCAGAGGTCAACATCAGGTGATTTCTTCAACTAGTCTCACCTTAGTATTTGAGAAAGGATCTCTCACTGAACCTGGAGCTCATTAATTGGGCTAGACAGATTGGTTAGCAAACTCTATGGATCCTCCTGTCTTCCACCTCCCAAGTGCGGAGATTACAGGTATACAGTACTGTCTGGCCTTTTTATATAGGTGCTAAGAATCTGACCTCTGGTCCACTTTACTATCTAAGCTATCTCCAGCTACTGTATGATAAATTTAAGGCTAGACTGAGCTATGTTGTGAGACCTTGTCTTAAATGTGGGTGGTAATTAATGATAACATGGGTAAGAACTGTCTACCTTGATTGATGTTGAGACTTTATGTAATAAAGATGAATTGGGTTGTTAAGAAATAGCACATAAAATCCCTTGAAATCTGAGCAATGGTGGTGCATGCCTTTAATCCCGGTATTTAGGAGGCAACGGCAGGTGGAGCTCTGAGTTTGAGGCCAGTTTGAAAAACTAAACAAAACAAAACGAAAAATCCCCTGGAGCAGAAGTGAGTGAGTGTGTGTGTGTGTGTGTGTGTGTGTGTGTGTGTGTGTGTGTATGTGTGTGAGTGTGAGAGAGCGAGACAGAGATTGTGTGTGTATGTCAGCAACTTTCTACATCCTTTAAGGCAGTGGTTCTCAACTTTCCTAGTGCTGTGACCCTTTAATATAGTTCCTCATGTTATGGTGACCCCTCGACCACAAAAGTAATTTTGTTGCTACTTCAGAACTGTGATTTTCCTACTGCTATGAGTCATAAATATCTGTGTTTTACAATGATATTAGGCAGCCTTTGTGAAAGGCTCATTTAACCCCCAAAGGGATCACGACCCCCAGGTTCAGAACTGCTGCTTTAAGGGATTTAAAAAGGCTTTTGGAGACAGAAAAGTTCTTTTGGGGAACTATGCTTAAACAGAGAATCTGAGTAATAGATTGCAAAGCCCTGGAAAGGACCACAATCCCTATAGGGTTAATACAGGCCATTGAGAGCCAGAGAATTACAAGGGAAGTGTTGTTGTCATAGAATGTGTTGTTAGTAAAAACCTTTCTGTGCTAAACTAATTGGCACTGGAAAATCTAAGCCCAGGGTACGAAGCAAGAAGAATTAAAATGGTCTTTGATACAGTGCTTCTTAGGGAATTTCATTTTAAGTTTGTTGGGTTAAAACCATGGAAAGGACTTTCTGGTTTTGTGTAAGAAAGCATGAACTGTTAGGGTTTGACATAGAGGTCATTTTTCAGACTAAAGAATATTCCATTTACCCAATTATTTGTGACATCTACTAGTGTTTCCCATATGTCAGGTAGACTCCATCTTAATCTCAGCAAACGATAAGCAGCCCAATACCTCTAGATGGACTCCATCTTAATCTCAGCAAACAATAAGCAGCCCAATACCTCTAGATGGATACCTTTGCATGTGTGTAAGTAAGCTAGGGTTGGTCCAAGCACTTGCCAGAAGGTGCTGTTCCCCAGTACTACTCAGTTCTGCAAAGGAAAGGCTGTAGATGAGTTGGCCTAGCTGAGGCTGCCTTTTAAAAAAGTCTTATGTTTGCTTGTTCCTTTACTTGTTGTTTATTTTCCTTCCTGGTGTACTCCTTACTAATGCTAGTAGGCGTTATCCATATGGGCCCACAGAAGTATCTGATGATGACCCAGAATAAATTGCTACAATCCCACCTAAAGATAGTCAGTAGTATCTAGTGACTCCTAGGACTCCTAGGACTCTTTCCTATGCCATACTGTCCATCCACTAAACAGTAAAGTTGATTTGTCTCTGTAGCAACTGATGTGCCCATCAAAAGAGGGACATTCTGTTGAAGTAGCACTGTAGCTAATCAGTATGGATACTGTGAGAAGCCAGGGCAGTTCCTTCATTGAAATTCTCTCTGCTATTGAGGTTGTATTAGCTCCTCTCTCTTTCTAGTAGTGGTAATACCTATTGCTTTTAAAGTTGACTCCCCCCAAGACTCTTGACATCTATTTTTCAACTGAAATACTATTTATAAGCAATAAAATATACAAATTTAAAAATGCACCATTTGGGGAATCTTGACGTGTAACTAGCACCCAGCAGAATATAGAACTTTTTCATCACCTCATAAAGTTCTTTTTTGTCCCTTTTCAGTCAATCCATTGACCCATGAAGCAACCATTTTTCTGATTGTCACCGTAATTTTGTATGAACTCATCCAGCGATGTTTAATTTTAAGAAGCAAATTTCAGTGGTTATTATCACTACTATATTCTTCCACTTGGGATTAGAGCAAAATGATTTCCAAATATGACTCTTTCTTCTTTTTCTGAGTATTTTGAAAAATTCCTCAGTGTCTCACCGTGTGCCAATAGCAACTGCATGGCCGAGAAGGCCTCCTGTGTAACTGAAACCCTGCTGACATCACTAGAATCCATTTCCTCTTTAGGACTTATGAAAATGAAGCTAAGATTTAGTTACAGACAAGATTCCTGGCCCAGGATAGCACCGATGTTTTCTCATGTGCAGAATAGATGGTAAAGGGGCGAGTCACATGTTGTTCTTGTGACTATAGGGGCACAGTGAGGAGTCTGGGGACCTTGCTTAAGCTCAGCAGAGTAAATGGTTAGGGTCCAAACCTATCCCATTTGTAAATCCACCAGCTAGTGAAACTGACAAAAAATATATAATTTGAAAATTTCTTACCTCTCTGACAGATATGTTTAAAACACTTCTGTTTCATTATCCACAGTAGGTACTTAATAGGTAATCTCTGGAAATCTTTAGATATCTTTTGTATTACTAAGTGAAAAAATGAATTTAAATGTTAATATAAGTGTCTTTATATTCAGGAATATGCTCAATGAACGGTAGTCCTCCTTTATCCACAGGGAGTGTTTTCCAAGATGGAGGGTGGGAGGCTGCCTAAAATTGTAGGTAGAACTGTACAGTACATGTACTGTGTTTTCTCGTACCTATGTTGAATTTTAACCTGAAAATCAGTTACAGTAAGCAATAATAAAAAGGACTTCTATAACTGTGTACTGAGTAAAATGACCAACATCACTACTCTTATATTTTCAAGACATTACTTAGTAAAATAAGGATGACTTGAACACAAGCACTACAACCTTGATGTCTTAAAGGGTGATCTGATCGCTAAGAAGGCTCCTAAATGACCAGGTTCTGGACAAAGAGGTGATTCATGTTTCAGGCAGGACAGAGCAGGATGGTGTGAGATTTTATCACACTACTCAAAACAAGACACATTTTTTAAATATATGAATTGGCTGTTTCCATTTAACCTCTTCAAGCAGTCTGACTGAGTAGTTAAACCCATGGAAAGCAGAACTGAAGAAGAGGTTTGGGTAGCTGTTGTAGCAGTGACAGTCTAGAGTGCTCTGGCCTGAGCAACTGTAGGCACACCTGAACCCTCTCTGCCTGTTCCTACCTTCCATGGGCACACTTGAACCCTCTCTGCCTGTTCCTACCTTCCATGGACACACTTGAACCCTCTCTGCCTGTTCCTACCTTCCATGGGCACACTTGACCCTCTCCGCCTGTTCCTACCTTCCATGGGCACACTTGAACCTCTCTGCCTGTTCCTACCTTCCATGGGCACACTTGAACCTCTCTGCCTGTTCCTACCTTCCATAGGCACACTTGAACTCTCTCTGCCTGTTCCTACCTTCCATGGGCACACTTGAACTCTCTCTGCCTGTTCCTACCTTCCATGGGCACACTTGAACCCTCTCCGTCTGTTCCTACCTTCCATGGGCACACTTGAACCTCTCTGCCTGTTCCTACCTTCCATGGGCACACTTGAACCTCTCTGCCTGTTCCTACCTTCCATAGGCACACTTGAACTCTCTCTGCCTGTTCCTACCTTCCATGGGCACACTTGAACTCTCTCTGCCTGTTCCTACCTTCCATGGGCACACTTGAACTCTCTCCGTCTGTTCCTACCTTCCATGGGCACACTTGAACCTCTCTGCCTGTTCCTACCTTCCATGGGTACACTTAAACTCTCTCCGTCTGTTCCCACCTTCCATGGGCACACTTGAACCCTGTCTGTCTGTTCCTACTTTCATCTTTGGCCTGT